CTGAGAGGGACGGAGGGCTACCTTTGTACTGGCTGACTTTGGTCGTGTTTACGCTGTTTTGAACGTAGATAACGACTAAGATTAAGTAAGGTTAGTATGTGGATAATTGCACGAGCAGGATAAAATATATTTTTTTAAAGAAAAAGTACATCTTGCTTTGTCATGGCAAAGTAAGGAAAACAAAAGACGCGAGAGAAAAACGTTTATCTGAGTAAAGTCAGTCATTGACCTTCACTCTGATAGAAACCTTATCGAATATCAGATAAAAACTGTACTATTATTAGTAATTATTAATAGCAACAAAACAATTACTGATTATCAGTTATTACTTTGGTTATTATTACCAAAGTTTTATCATTGTATTCGTGGTGTCATTCACATAGCTGGCAGTCGGACATTTTTGGAAATTGAATACCTCCTAATCAGTTATTATTGCCACAGTATATATATGAGCTAAAGCAGTACGGAAGCTTAGCCCTTTCGGCGAGTTAAATACCTACACTTCAACTGAGTGTTAGGGTTGGCACTCTTAATCTTTATAAAATTAATAAGGTTCTTACTTACTTATTTATTAAAACGTTTATTTAGGTTTTTTAATTATCAAATACTTAATGGAATAAATTAATTGACTAAGTAGTTAACAAAAAAATAAAACGTTAATTAGGTTCTATAATGATCCAATACATAATCGAATAAATTGATTAAGTACTGTATTAGAGGCCGGTAGAAGATCTATTCTCATAAAATAAAATACCGGATATGTTTCACATACCTATTGCCTCATTTTAAATACAGTTCATCACTTAGTACAAAAGCGCGCGGAGCAAATTACTTTATCAAATAGAACACATCCATTTTTAAAAAGCGTAATTACGTAATTTAAAAAGAACTATTACAAAATCAGATGTAAGCACTTTATTTAAAAAGTAATATTTAATCATTTTTACAATTCAGAATTATTCCGAAGTTTAAAAAATGAAAGTTCTGGTTTTGTAGATGCTGAGTTCAAGCAGCCGTATACTACGCAATACACTCGTGGGCATGTTTTTAAAAATACAGCGGACAGTGCATGCAATAATATTATTATTAAAAACACAACGCGCGCGACACCCGCGACGGATGGACTGCGAGGTTCGCTTAGAGCTCGTGTAAAGCGTGCGTCTGTGTGCGTGAGTCTGATTTCGAGCGTTTGTATGAAGCTTCCGTACTGTTTAATTTATCTACTGTGTTATTGCTCTACCACATACGACTGGGTATGGGACTGGGTTACCTCCGCCATATCGAATAACAATTGATCGAAAATCGAAAATCAAAATATCGAACTTGATTAATAGTAAAATCACAGAATAATAATAAGTAGGTCTATGAGTTTAATAATAACAAAAGAAAACAATACAAACGTCGAAATCCAGCAGCTATCAACGAGTGCATTACCTTTATATTATTTTGAACTTGATCACGACGTCAGTCACCGTGGTGCTGTGTTGTTGACCAGTGGAAAAGTCAATTGTGTCACGTAAAAAAGTTAACTTTGAGGTCACACAACGCCAAATGTCGCAACGAAACGATTTCGTAACCGCTAAATTTAGTTGTAACAAGCGTGATATGCGTTCGAATTGCTTTAATCAACCTGTTTAAAAATGATAATTGTGTGATTGTTTACACCCATATTTTTAAACATGTTATTAAGATTTAGTACATAGGGGACGAATTTTTAAGAGGTGACTTTGATTTAACTTCGGACAAATAGGTACCAATAGATACCAGTCTAACTGGCCTGTTGTAGATTTCGATTGGGATTTGGGACATTTTTAATTAATCATTTATCAACGAGACCATCTTATGATTGAGATCACGCCTATGCGCTGTTATATTCTAGCCTGAGTTTTGTTTTTGTGATATAATACGGCTAAAGCTATGTATGCTAAAGTATGCATGTGGCTAATGTAACCTAAGTTAGGTTCTTGTGTAAAAAAGTGGCAAAAAGCATTCAAGAAAGGCGCTAGAAGTTTGTGTAACACCGCCTCTCATTCACAAGGGAGATCGTCTCAATCCCCGTTTTTTACCATGAAGTTCTTGGAGTCTGCGTAAAAGTAGCGGAAAACTTTCTTTAAGAATTATATCAAATGTCTCGAGAACTTGGAACTTGGAATCCACGGCTGCGTTTGATTCTGAGCGTAACGTCGTACATTCTTTACATTACTTATTTTATTCCTTACTTCTGTGAGAAAAATGCTGTAGAAACTTGCATACTGGTTGTTGAATACACATATTAATGCACTAAAAAACTTCATAAATCAAAAGAAATGTAGGTACAATTTTATTTAATGATGCAATCAAACGCTTCGATTTTGAAAATAATTAGTACATTCATCAAACTACACTTCCCTATTTCTTGATTGCGCTGTTTGAATCAGACAAATGGTTTGACTATCAAACATTTTTCATTGAGTTTTCTCAAACTCCAGACGTTGTCTCGGTTCCCATTCCCATGTTCCCCAACCGCACAAAACAGTCGAGACCTCGATCGATCGGTCCTCATCTAAGGGCGAGTCTTTCATAGATTATCCGGCTTCTGTCGCCTCACTCGCGCTAATTCACCGCGACTGCAAAATTAACGTCTTTCCTGAAGAATTCAGAAGAATTCACGAACAAATTTTCTCTAATTGTATGCCAGCACTGCCCCGTAATTGTCTACAAAGCTTCTTATTTTGTTTTGAATACCGGTTCGGTTGGTAATTTACCGCGAAATAATTTACTTTTTGTAAAACTTACTTTAGTTTTTAGAAAAGTGTCATTCTAATTAAAGTTAGCTAATCGATTAGATTTTTTATGAGATTAGCTTTGTGGTGACTTAATTTTTTGGAAACATTTGTTCCTACATTGATGTCCATTTCTCGATTGTGAAATTATTGTTTCTTGTCTTTCTCTTCGTACACAGTGACTTCGTAATGGCAATGATAATAATTCTAGATTGAACTTGTAAAAAAGCTATTGTGTCTATTGAAGTTTTGACTAATAATGTAAGAGGTTTATAATTTATGTGATTCGTTTACCCTTCTTTTTGTTTACTCGTAGGAAAGTTGGTAGCCGAAATTATGGTTGTAGAAATAGAAAATACTTTGATGCTTATTTCCGTCGACTTTATTAGACGAAAAGACAACAAAACAAAATGTGAAGCAGCCATGATAACTCACCAACATAAACACCAACAAAGAACGGAAGTGTGTGAGTGAGCGCGTGCGTTGACCGCTAGGAATGCACCGCACGCGCAGCGCACAGCTGTTCCCTGTTCCGCTAACGTCGCAGCGAAAGCTTCGGTTACTAGTAACTCAATCGATATTTTAATTTGACTAACATCAGAAGTAATTAGATTCCAAAAACAGATAGAAGTAGCTATTTAGGTAGGTCTATTTAGAATAGATTTGGTCTCAAAAAAGCTAATCAACAGCAAATTAAAATGAACGTAAAAGAAAGCTGGCATTATTTCTCGTATCGAACTCGATCTCGGCGTCTGAGGGCCTGATGGCCTGACGAACCGGTTAAGTTGTAAATTTAACTTTGCTACTCGAACAAGTTGCTCGGCAACATTGTTATTGGATCTCATGCATGTGTTTTGCCATTAACGTAACTTCGAGAATGATCTGATAAATTAACAAATTCTACTTTTACTATTAGCTGCTATTAGTGATGATGACGTTACATTAATTTAGTAGATTAGTTAAGATTATTCAGATTTTTAAGGAATACTCCTTAAAAATCTGAATATGGATCACCAGTAAGCACTGATGGAGATGGTGTGTTAAATATTATGATTTTGACTACAATTTCAACAGCAGCAGGATACTAGGGTATATGTCCCATCTTTTGATGGGTAGAATTCCGTAATTCCATTTTATTATAAGTTATTTTGAATATTTTCTCGACTTACACGAATGTAATGGAAAAAACCGACCAAGAAAAATCAGTCCTCTTATTTTATGCGGTGTGATAAAAATGTTAAACTTGGCACTACACACAATTCGGCTGATTGGTCGGTGATGACTGATGAAGGTCATATTTTAGTTATTTTAACCGGATTCACACATGATGAAAGTGAATGTGTTTATTTATTTATTTATAGCATACGGACCAGTAGCACTACGAACCAATGGTCGTTTTACTCGTAAAAAGGTCTCTGGGATTTTTTTATTTGAAAATGTAGCCTTATCTCTGGCGCTAAGCCTAGTTCATATTGAATTGATACAGTTTACACTGATTGTTGTCTTGTTGTCTGCAATATCCAGTAACTCACTTATATCTAGCCTGCTATTTAGTCAGAGATCATCATCACGGAAATAGTAATAGAAGTTGTAAATACTCGTAGCATCAGCATAATACCTATTTTCCTTTCTTAGCTCGAACACGAGTATTAATATGTCTTTTATCTTTTCTAATTTCCCATGGCCTTGAGCTAATTCCTCGTGCTGGCTGACTGCAGATAGGGGCGGTGTGCTTAAGCGTTTTATCGCAGTCATAAGGAAGCTCCGAGGAAAGCCTTAGGTGGCGTGCCGCAAGAAATCCAGCATGATAAAGATGTTATGAATCGTATTCGTGTTGGAATTTTAGCAAAGTTCTTGAGTTTACTGAACATGACCAAGGTTACTAATATGGAGCCAATACCTATTCGGTTAAAGCAAAATCGATTTTGTTNCGCGTTACAACCTCCCCCTCTGACCAAGACATAGCGCCCTCGCGTCAAGGTCAGCAAACGATGCCTTGGGTCTACCACGCCTATGCCTCTGACTGAGCCGTTTCGGCGGCCCATCGCCTACGGACGGGGTCAGCTGTGGGACGCGATACCCTTCTGCGAGTTCCTCCGACCGGTACGCGGTAATCGCGGCGTCCCTAGCATGACGAAATCGGTTTCGTCGATATAAATCGCCAGCGGTATAATAGCGCGCGGAATGAATATGACGTACTTCGTCAGCGAGGTTGATGACGTCAATTACATTATGGAACCCCTTGTAGGGCCCTCTCCTCCCCCTAGACGGAACGTCGGATGGCAGCATGTCACGTGACTCTGGGTACTCGATTTGGTTCTTACTAAAAGAAGCTAAATCAACATTGGCACAACATGGATGAAGTGGGTTTCCGGGAGCCTCCCCCTGCATTGAACCTGCCCCGGGGCAATAAACATCGGGAGGCGATATCGTAGGGGGTTTCGGGTCGCTCCGACCGTTAACACGTTGAGTGCCGCGGGCTCCGTGCACTATACAGGTACTCAGCTGCCCCTGGAGTACCCGGTCTGCTGCTTCTACCTTCATCAGCTCTGCCTTGCCGGTGGTAGATAATTCGAAGCTGGTGATGAACGGATGCCAACGCCGCGGCCCATCGTTGAAACACCAGCTGCTCTGCGATAAGTCCAGCAGGATACCAGCTTTGGTAATAAAATCTCTACCTAATAGGGTTCTTGTTCGCGCGTGTGGTAGCACCAAGAACGCGGTAGGTATTATACGACCTTTCAAGGTGACATTGACCTCTCCTTCGAGCGTCGTCTGTAGGTGTTGCGATCCATTTGCAAGCCCTACGATACGTTTGGACTCCCTAAATGTAACACCTGCCTCGCGTAACATATTATACAGCACGGGGCTTGCGATAGAGTGTGTGGCCCCCGTGTCAATAATCGCCACTCCCGTTCGGTTTACGACCTGAATTTCTATCAGCGGCCTTGGATCGTCATCGCTGTCTATGACATAGGCCGTACTAAAGTCCGATTTACTCGTACTACTCGAACTGGGTGCACCTTTACAATTATCGCCCTTTGATCTAACTACTCCCAGCTGACCGCATCCGTAACAACGTAGGACATTACTATCACCCGACTCAAGTGTAGTTACGTCACTTTTAATTTCTTTATTGCGGCAGTTATCTTTAGTATGGCCGAAAAGTTTGCAGTAACTACACCTGGGTCGAACGCGCCTTTTCCCCTCACTATCCCTATACTTCGCATTTAAAACTCGCGGGTTATTCATCGACATGGATTCACTACACGAATCGAGAAAAACTTCATCACGACATTCACGACTAAATGAATTCGGGGGGTCGTTTACGGCATGCGACGGGTTAACACTCGGGCCCGCCCGCGGTCGATCGGCATCGCGCAGTTGGTGGGTTAACGGGGCTCGCGCTATTGTTATTATCAACGCGAGAACTCACCTCTGCCAGCGACTCTTCCACCAACCTGACTTTACATATCAGCTGTTCCAGCCCGTCCACAGCGTCACGAGGCACTCGTTTTCTTATTCTACGATCTAAAAGTCCATAAACAATGTCTAGCTTCATTGCTTCGGGCACTACGTACGGTAACTTTGATAATAAGGCGCGCACTTTGTTCACAAACACATCGGCTCGTTCGTCACTTTGTTCGGCGGAAAATATGTCGCGAAATATTTTATACGCGGGTCGCGGCACGCCGAACATCCCTCGAAGTCGCTGTAGGGCTCCGGTCCATGACGTCACCGACGACTTCACGCCTTGCCACCACACGGCGGCCTCGCCGACCAGCAGCATCGGTAGCCCACGCAGGGCGTGCTCCTCACTGACGTTGGTGCACTCGCGGTACACTTCGATGGCATCAATGAATGCTTCGAGCTCGTCCGAGTTCTTTGACCTTCCGTCGAAGCGCGCTGTGCACTTCGCGAAGTTACCCGGGCGCTGTGGGTAACCTGGCGTGTCGGGTTGTGGTGATGATGAGTGCGAATGTTGGCCTCTGTAACCAGTCAGGATGCTCTCTATCAGCGTGCGGCTGGATTCCGCTTGACTCCTGGTGATGCTGGAGACAAGGCGAGCGCTGTGGGTAACCTGGCGTGTCGGGTTGTGGTGATGATGAGTGCGAATGTTGGCCTCTGTAACCAGTCAGGATGCTCTCTATCAGCGTACGGCTGGATTCCGCTTGGCTCCTGGTGATGCTGGAGACAAGTTTCTGGAGCATTTCCTCCGACATGGTGACGTTCGGTGAGGACACCACTGTCCGGTTCACTTCGGTGTCAGTGTAGTCTGCGTCCGAGTTCGATCCCTCGTTTCTCGCGGTCTTCGCGGCATTCCTCTTCGGTGGCATGTTGAGACGATAGAAAGTGGGTTCTTCAAGTAAATGTCGAAAGGCTTTCGTTGTTTACACTTGTGTTGAATGTGCCCCGCAAGTTGGGCGTCACTGTAATACTTGTTAAGTTGGTCTCGGGGTCGTGAAATAAGTTCGTAGGCACAATTCGATCATCAACAAGTATATTGTCAATTTAACACAACGAAATGTACATGAAACTTGGTTTATATCAGTCAAAACAATATCTAAACACCAAAATACTGGGAGAGTAAAATAGCGCGCGTCGCGGCCATGGGCGGACTGGCAATAATGTCGAATTTAGAAAAGACGCCGGCGACCGTTGGTGAGAGGGCGCCGGGCAGAGCGCGCGAGCCCGTGAGTTGTAAAATAAAGCCCGCCAAATTCGAATGCGAGCGTTAACCACAGAGGTCGCGTTACAATACTTAAGTGCTTTTGTATTAATTAAGTAATCTCTTCAAAACATTTTAAAATAACTTTCATAATATTCACTGCGTCGAAGTTTCTATGCAAATAACATCAACATTAAAAGCTTTAAACTAATATTTTCGTTGCTAAAATAACTTTAATAATGTTATATTAATCTTGGAAAACATTCCAAGATAAGTACTAATATTATAAAGCTGAAGAGTTTGTTTGTTTGTTTGTTTGAACGCGCTAATCTCAGGAACTACTGGTCCGATTTGAAAATTTATTATTGTGCTAATGTATAGAGGAAGGCTTTAGGCTACATAACATCACCCTACAGCCAATAGGGGCAGAGCAGTAAAGAAAAATGTTGCAAAAATGGGAAATATTTTTTAAACTAATTTCACGCGTACGAAGTCACGGGCACAGCTAGTCTTATAATAAAAGGTTATTTTAATAACATTTTCAACCAATTACTTGCGAACTGACTCTGCAAACGCTGTTTGTTTTCCAAATTACTTTAAAGAAATTAATTTATTTAAACGTTATGAACTTATGAAGATGGCTGAAATCTAAACAAAGAGGCAGCTTTTATTACTCAGCTAAAAACATTTCAATCCAATTTAAATTTATTTAATTTACTCAGGGTAAAAATTAGGATAGTTTTCATCCCGGTTTTTGAAAGGGGATTAAAGATTGTGATTCACCCTGGTGAAAACTAAAATTGTTTCTTAGATAAGTATTGGTGTTAACTAACCAACCTTAGGGCTTTATCCCACGGAGACATTCCGTTTTATGCAGGATCCCGTTCAGTAGTATACGTGTTTTAATATTATCGTTCACATGAACATCCCGTTTGTCGTGTCCCGCAAAAATCGATCCGTTAGAATTTGTAAGACAGGCTATGAACCTTGCTGCCCCATCGGCCGTCAGTTCTGCGTTCTATGTGCCCTGCCCATTGCCACTTCAGCTTGCTAATCCGTTGGGAAGCAACTTTAGTTCGTTTATGGATTTCTGATTCGATCTCGTAAATGCAGAATTGCTGTGGTAAGGGGGCGTCCATAAATTACGTGAGACTTTTAGGGGGGGGAGGGGGTCAACAAAAACCTCACTAAATCTCACGTGGGGGAGAGGGGGGGTCTCAGGAAATATCACGTAATTTTTTCCGCAAGAAATAGAACAATAATTAGAAAGAAAGAAAGAAAGATACATTTATTACAATGGACATCACACAAATATAGGCAGGCAAATAATTAGACTAGGTACTTCTGTAAAAAAAAACAATGGGACCCTAGTACTAACCGCTGTCACTACACGTGTTTTTCTGGATCTATTCGTACCTAATCAGTGGGCTTAGTGCGACTTTATATCGATCGTCATCCGCTAGCGACTGCGTAAAAAATGATATGCATTAAATGTATGATGATTGTACAGCGTCCCTAGCAGATACTTTCAAGAACTAAAATCTTAAACTTTATAGATCTTTTTGGTGCACTCGTTAGCGACAACGGTAAATGCAAACTCGCACTAAGCACACAAAAAAACACTTTGTCAGTTAAATTACTCCAAAACTATTAAATTTCGGATTTTTTAAAAATATCACGTGATGTTAGGGGGTGGGGGAGGGGGTCAGGTAAAATCTCACCANTTTGTATTGACTGCCAGTATTTAAGACATCGGTAAGAAATTGAATTATATTCGGAATATTAGGTGTATATGTTACGGCTAAAGATAGGTATGAACATAAACTTAAGATTAGCCGGCTAAACTTAAGTTTATCTTCGAGAAGCAGCTAAAGTTCGATAACATGTTAGTTTGCGTCGTGATATTCCATCTTTAGCCGGCTAATGTGCACATTAGCCAAAACGAAACGGCTAAAAATGTATTCGATGGGCGCGCCAGGCCGGCGGAGGGCTTGAGGGGGCGGTGGGGAGACAACGAATAGCTCCATATTATTTTACAATTGTGATTAGATATTGTTTTAAGTAATTAACATTGAAGAAGTTTTATTTTGTAATTTTAAATACCTACCTACAGAAGATTCTGTAATGACCAAAATGGTTCCTTATTATTTTATTTTAATGATAGGTGCCTAGATATTGTTTCAAGTAATTAATATTTTGTTAAAGTTTTCGTGTCCAAATAGTAAATAATATTACATTGTTTCCTTTTCCATTTCCTTCTACATTTTTAGCCAAGGGCCTGCGGTTACACTTAAGTTTAGCCGGCTAAAGATAGAAGAAACTAACATTAACACCTCGTCGAAGATAAACTTAAGTTTAGCCGGCTAATCTTAAGTTTATGTTCGCACCTATCTTTAGCCGTAACATATACATTTCAATTTTATTTTCATTGCAGAAGGCAAACCATTTTTTCAGACAGGAATCGTACTGTTTTAAAGTGTTCTCTGATAGGGATGCCATCATGACATCTATGGCAGCTAGCGGGACATCTCTCCGTAGGAACCCCGCGCGGATAAGAGCGCGGCCTCCAGGGTAAGGTTGTGGCGAATGTTCCCGCTGGAATGAGGAAAAATTATATCTGATGAACTAAGAACTATTATATCAGAGATAACAAGACGTCTAAATAAAGGGTACCACGGTTGCGATTGCCAGGCTGGTACGACCATTATACCTTGGGCTTTGTCAGATATAATTTTTCTAAGAGATTTTAAGATGATGGCCACTGGTGGGAACGCATAGAAGAAATAATTGGACCAAGAGAATGTGAAAGCATCCGTTGCGAAGGCGTCAGGATCACGAGCCCATGAAGCATATATGTGACATTTTTTATTCAGTCTATTTGCGAATAAATCAATTTGTGGAAACCCCAGTGTTTTAGTTAATTTTTCGAAACCTATGCTTGATAGTTCCCATTCAACATCGGGATGTGAGCGTCTCGATTCCCGGTCGGCTATAACATTATCGGACGATTTTACATAAGCTGCCGTAACATGTATATGGCGAGCCTCACACCACTGCCAAATACTTCGAGTTATATTATTCAGATGGGGATATTGCACTCCACCCATGCGATTTATATAACTCAACGCCGTGGTGTTGTCAACACGTAGAAGTATCTGACAGTCGTTAATATTTTTGGTGAAGGTTTTAAGCGCAAAAAAGGCCGCTAAAAGTTCTAAACAGTTAATATGCAAATTTCGTTCCGATTTTGACCACTGACCGCTCGCTGTTTGACCATCACAAGTCGCTCCCCACCCCGTTGTTGAAGCGTCAGAGTATATTTCCATTAGATAATTATCGTCTTTAATTCTGTGAACCGAATTATCGATGGCTTGTAACCACCAGTCTAAATCAGAATGTAAAAAATCTGGAATATTCATGTCCCTATCATAATCATCGTGCCCCTTAAGATTAAGGTACTTGCAACGTTCCAATTCCTTGGTATAGGAGAGGGGGGGTCTCAGGAAATATCACGTAATTTTTTCCGCAAGAAATAGAACAATAATTAGAAAGAAAGAAAGAAAGATACATTTATTACAATGGACATCACACAAATATAGGCAGGCAAATAATTAGACTAGGTACTTCTGTAAAAAAAAACAATGGGACCCTAGTACTAACCGCTGTCACTACACGTGTTTTTCTGGATCTATTCGTACCTAATCAGTGGGCTTAGTGCGACTTTATATCGATCGTCATCCGCTAGCGACTGCGTAAAAAATGATATGCATTAAATGTATGATGATTGTACAGCGTCCCTAGCAGATACTTTCAAGAACTAAAATCTTAAACTTTATAGATCTTTTTGGTGCACTCGTTAGCGACAACGGTAAATGCAAACTCGCACTAAGCACACAAAAAAACACTTTGTCAGTTAAATTACTCCAAAACTATTAAATTTCGGATTTTTTAAAAATATCACGTGATGTTAGGGGGTGGGGGAGGGGGTCAGGTAAAATCTCACCAAATCTCACCAAGGGGGGCGGGGGGGTTGAAAAATAGCCAAAATTGTCTCACGTAATTTATGGACGCCCCCTAACGAGCCCTAACCGAAGTTTCTTAAAGACACAGGGTGTCCTATTTAAAAATAGACTTTTAATTAAGACAAAAACCAAGTATCACGACCCAGTTTCACGAGTTCCACACACATTCCATTTACAAGACGCAGTTCCATTCCGGCTGAATCTTTATATCTCAGATAAAAGTCGGGAATTCTCCCTCGTATATTAGATTCCAGCGCTGACACAACCACGCACTAGTATCATTAATTGTATTCCATTGCCGCACTGGAATTTGGTTATAGAAGCTTCTTTGTTTCATGAATAAAGTAAAAATGTAAATAAATACAATCTAGGTATACTAATATTATAAATGCCAAAGTATCTCTGTCTGTCTGTCTTGCTTTCACGCCTAAACCACTGAAGCGATTTTAATAAATTTTGGCATAGAGATAGTTTGAGTTCCGAGAAAGGACATAGGATGGTTTTTATCCCGGTTTTTAAAACAGGGACGCGCGCGATAAAGTTTTTCTGTGACAGACAAAATTCCATGCGGAAAGCTAGTTCAAAATATGTTTCAATTAACCAAATTTGGCTTATGAGAAAGAGGTTAGTAGTTCGTTCGTTCGTTCTTTTCAGCGAAATGACGTCCACTGCTGGACAAAGGCCTCCCCCAAGGATTTTTTACGAAGACCGGTCCTGCGGTGCCCACATCCAGGTTAGTACTTTTTTTTATACAAGACAAGGCAGGTATTTGACCGCAATCGCACCTGGTGTTAATTGAGATGCAGTCTAGGATGGTACATATCTGCCCTGTAAGCCTATTCACTCTCGCCTTAAAAACGCCCGGATTATTCCAGGCAGCGAATTCCAGTCCCTAGTTCTTTCTTTAGAAGTTCTTTCAAATTAGACATTTTGAGTCGTGCGTT